AGGGGACAACACTACAGATTGTACACATGTGAAAAGGCTAATAAGACAATATTATGAACTTTATAGCAATAAGATCAATAACTTAGATGATATGGACAATTTCCTGTTGTTTTTTTTTTAAAGATTTTTTATTTATTTGAGAGAGAGAGTGCACGCGTGTGCGCTCATGAGCAGGAGGGAGGGGCAGAGGGAGAAGCAGACTTCCCACTGAGCAGGGAGCCTGATGTGGGGCTCGATCCCAAGACCTGGAGATCATGACCTGAGCCAAAGGCAGACGCTTAACCAACTGAGCCACCCACGTGTCCCGATACAGACAATTCCCTCAAAAGACTCCAACTACCAAAGCCAACTCAGGAAGAAACAGATAACTTGAATAGCCCCATATTTATTAAAGAAATTGAATTTGTAGCTAAGAAATTTTCACACGAAGAGAACTCCGGGCCCAGATGGCTTTACTGTTGAATTTCACCAAACCTTTCAGGAAGAAAGAATGCCAGTTCTCCACAAACACTTCCAGAAAACCGAAGAGGAGAGAACACTTCCCAATGCGCTGTTTCCGACCAGCTTTCCCTTGAGACCCAAACTAAAAACATAACAAGAAAATATATATGGAGATCCTTAAAACTTACCATTCTTGAGAAAGTCATCTCTTATTGCCTTCTCCTCCACAGCTCTTTTGAAAATGGGTTATTCTAACCCAGCACCTGGCCCGTACGTAACTTCAAACTGTACAACATGACCTCCTTCTTCTTGCTGCAGATGTTTGGACCCAAGGGCAGCCTTTTCACTTACATTGGGACACTGGCTCAAAAAGGTGTGCTGGAACCCTTCTCGGGAGGTTGACCTAAGAGACACAAAGGGAAGGAATAGTTGATTAGGAGCTGAGGAGGGAGACTCATACTGATCCAACAGCTGTGGCAGCCATATTGGAACCATGATGAGAAAAGAGAGGAAATGGGTCCAAAGACTGAAGTGGGGCAGATACACAGGCATAGTCAGAAATTGCAGAAGAGAGGGGGAGACTGAGAGGGAGACAGAGACAGAGAGAGAGAGAGATGGGGACAGAGAGAGACAGAAAGAGACGGAAGGAGTCAGAGAGGGAGAGACAGAGAGAGACAGAGAGACTGAGAGAGAGACTGTGTTAGCAAAGAGGGAGTAACCCAGTTTCTGTCCCTTGTGAGGTCTTGCTCTTCAGACTCTTTTGGATTCATGTAAAACTCTTTCTACTTGACACAGTGAGTAGACTTCCCTTTCCTATAGCCAAAACTACCCTGACAAAACAAAATGCTCAATAAAAGCTAAGATGCTTCCATTGCTGCACATTAAAGCCTTGGTGTCAATTCCTAGCCTAAGGACACCACAGGCCACCTTCTTCATTCCCAAAGGCCTCAGAGATTTAATTGGATTCTCTTTTCTTTTCTGAGTGTTCATTAAAAAATTTTTTTATTGAGGTGTAACATACATATAGCAAAGCATACAATTCTTAAGCATATACCTTGAATAATTTATGCACACACACACACACCTGTGTAACCACCACACAGAGAACATTTCTAACACTTTCAGAAAGTTGACTCTTTCTATTCTTTGTGGAGTTGCAGACCAGATTATGAGCAGTTGTTGGGTGTCTATGTGCAGTGGACTCGGTTGTGTTCTTCCATAATGCATGTCTTAAAATCCTAACCCCCATGTGACTATATTTGGAGATAGGGTCTTTAGGATGTAATTTAGGTTAAATGAAGTCATAACGGTGGGGCCCTAATCTAACACAACTGATGTCCTTGTAGGAAGAAAAGACACCACAGCTCACTCTCTCCTCCCCCTCCCCCTCCCCACCGTGCACAAAGATGAGGTCCTTGGGGCGCCTGGGTGGCTCAGTTGGTTAAGCGACTGCCTTCGGCTCAGGTCATGATCTTGGAGTCCCTGGATCAAGTCCCGCATCGGGCTCCCTGCTCGGCAGGGAGTCTGCTTCTCCCTCTGACCCTCCCCCCTCTCATGTGCTCTCTCTCATTCTCTCTGTCTCAAATAAATAAATAAAATCTTTAAAAAAAAAAAAAAAGATGAGGTCCTGTGAGCCCACCGAGACAGTAGCCCCCTACCTACAAGCCAGGAGAGACCTCATAATGAAGCCTGCCTTGCTGGCACCTTGATCTTGGACTTCCAGCCTCCAGACCTGGGAGAAATACATTTCTGTTGTTTAAGCCGCTGGGTCTATGGTATTTTGTTATGGCAGTTCGAGCAGATTACTATACCATGTGACCCATACAAAGAACAAAGAGAGGAGAAAGACGTCTTGAACAGAAAACTACCATTGATGGGAGCTCAGGCAAGTGATTTCACGACGCAGGCAGGTGGCCTGTGCCCAGCGTGGGGCAGGAGGAGAGAGCAGGCAGGACAAACGGCAGGCCCACAGTCCCTCTGGCCACCGGGCCTGGTCCACCTCTAGGCTGGCTCGGACATATTGCACAGAGGTATTTGATAAATTTGGAACCGTAGTTAAATGTCAACCGACAGCCTCTCACTCATCTGTCCCCTCGGAAGTGCTCTAAGAGAGCCCGGCAATCCAATAGGGCTTGTATTTGATTTTCCTGAGCCAAATGTGAGCCTGGTGGGTAGACCCATCTGAGTATCGACTTGTAGGAAACACGGAGCCCTCACCATGCAATGGGCTGAGTGCACTGGACCAGCCAGACGATACTGGGCCACCTCTGGAAACAACGCTCTGTCTGGTATGAACTGGGAACTCCTCCTCCCCTGGACCTGGGTGAAACCTTACCACGGGTAGCTGGGAGGGGTCCTTCCTGGTCCAGGCCCTGTTACTTTGTCATTGTCCCGTGGGTTGTCCACTCCTGGGCTTCTGTCTCCTAAGATGGCCACTCGCTAAACTTGTCACTCCTCTGTCAGAGCCGATGTATCAGGGACAGAGAGCTTCTGGTCTCTCTCTCTCTCTCTGCAATAGGCATGTTTCTCTCTCTTTTTTTTTTAAGATTTTATTTTTAAGTAATTTCTACACCCAACGTGGGCCTCGAACTCATAACCCTGAGATTAAGAGTTGTATGCTCCTATGACTGAGCCTGCCAGACACCCCATGCAATTGCTGTATTTCGATTGCTAGAGTTTTCCTGTCTTTTTTGTTGCTGCCATGATTTCTCTTCCTACTTGTTCCTGCAATGCTGAGAGGCAACCCCTTCACCCACAAGACTCACTGCACAAGGCCATCCTGTGTGGGTTGCTGTGGTGGAGGGTGCAGGAAGGATACACCCCAGACTCAAGGTAGCAGGGGCCTCGAGGCAGGGGGAGGGGATGCAGTGAGAGAGGGACGCTCTGGGGCCTTTGCCTCTCTTGGTGATATTTGTTTTCTTTTCCTTACACTTGGTGATGGGACGTGAGCGTTCTGTATTAGTCTTTATGCCTTTTTGTATATCATCCCGCAGATACCTCAGACCCAGGGTGTCCAAACCAGAGTTCATCATCTCCCTTGGATGCCAGCTTCTCCTTCTCTCTGCTCCCATGACCGGTGTCCCCACCCGGTCAGGTGCCCTGGGGGTTCCCAGACTGCTGGGTCCAGGCCTGCACCATGTCTTCCTTGGGGAAACTGCTTCAGGCCTGCGCCTTCCATCTGTGCTCACACGGCAGCCACAGGCCTCGTTCTCAAATGCAGTCTGATCGTGACACTGCTCTGCGCCCAACTCCCCTTGGCATCCCAGCTCATGTCCCACTGCCCCCCGACCCCTCAACCCCTGCTCCGGCCCACTGCCCACGTTAGGCCCCCAGCATCCCGTCGTCCCTTTGCTGTCTCGGGCTTGTTCTTCAACTCCCACTTTTGTCTCTTACTTCTTCCAGAAATCTCCCCCCACCCCCAACTTAGGGTTAGGTGCCCTCCCCATGATGGGGGGTGGGCATTAATAGCATCTTCGGCAGTCAGAATAATGTAAACACTATTGATTAAATTAAAATTGTGCTAGAATTCTCCTGGGAAGGTGAGGGAGGGGAAAAGGTGTGTTTAGTGTGGGTGTTGGAGTGTGCAGGGGGAGAGGGGCGTGATAAGAGCTTCCTTTTCCTCTTCCAGAGCTGGAGGTTGGGAATCAGGACAGGATGGCTCAAACGGAAAAACCAATGAACAATCATGGGAGCTCATCATTGAGGATTATGGAGGTAAATACCAAAAGAACTAACTTCAGAATGTGAACTTTGCGGGGCCGGACCAGGGGACTGCTGCTGTTGAATCAATATTTATCGTACGACTGACCAAATCAAAATTAAATTAGGAAAATAATGGAAACAGATCAACTCAGAGCCTCTGTGCTCGGGTGAAGAGGGCAGACCTGGTCCTACCCATCCCGGGGACTTTGCACAGTTGGAAACTAGACAAACCATGGTTTCAGAAATGCCCAGGAAACGAGGGGAGAACCGCCAAATGCCTTGGATGAGACACAGCTACTCGAACAACAATTAGTCTGTGATTCAGGATGGCAGAATTCTGCTGTATTTCATTTCTCGAACACCGACATCTCTCTTTTGCAGTTTGTTGGGCATTCAGGAGCTGGAAGAGGCTGGGGGCTCTGCCCCAGGCTGTGTTCCCTGAAACGTACAGACTGTCCTGGCCCCACATTTAAGAAGCTGTGTTTATTGAGTGGTTTTTCCTGGCTACACGTGTACCTTCCCGGCCCTCTGCAGAGAGGTGAGGAGGAGGAGGTCTGGATAAGGTGCACAGGAAAAAGCACTGTTCCCAGAGCAGTCTCGGACAAGATGTAGGCTTTTTTTTCAGACGTGATTCTGGCCATTTGTAAATCAAGGAAGCTGCGTGTTTTGGGTAGGTCCTTCCCAGGCCAAGTTTCTACACAGATTTTCAGCAATGTCAATGCATGATATATAATTATAGTCTCTTTAAATTAGGAAGAGGCTGCATGAAGATGCTAATGCAGCTAGATGCATTTAGAAAAGCTTTCAGCCCGAATCATGTGGAACGGGGACCTATTTTACTATTTTTTTCACAGTCACATGTGAAACATGTCTTTTTTGAGCCTTAGAAATTTGTATATATTTATAAAACCTGCAAAAGGGAGCATTACATGTGGGGTCCGCCCCAGAGATTTCCAAGAACACCTCTTCTGTGGGGTTTGTAACATAGAAGACTTTTTGGAGGTGTATCCCCAGGGTTTGCCCCTGTATCTGAGAACTCTCACACCTACCACCGTTCCCAAGAGGGGGTCCTGCTGTTCCCTGCCCCGTGCCCCAGCACGCATGCTCCCAGAACCATAGGACAGTGGGGAGGGCTGGCCCAGAGGAAGTGCTCCGGAGGCTGAGCCAACCTCCCTCCCTATCCTACGGATTCGGACCCGGGACACCTGGAGACCAGGTCAGCTAGTGTAGGCACCAAACTTGTTAGGGTCATGAAAAGAACCGTCGTGGTTCAGCAGAGATGAGAAAGCCACTCTGCAAAGAGAGGGAGAGAGGAGGGGCACCTGGGTGCCTCAGTTGTTAAGCGTCTGCCTTCGGCTCAGGTCGTGGTCCCAGGGTCCTGGGATCGAGCCCCGCGTCGGGCTCCCTGCTCTGTGAGAAGCCTGCTTCTGCCTCTCCCACTCCCCCTGCTTGTGTTCCCTCTCGCTGTGTCTCTCTGTCAAATAAATAAATCTTAAAAAAAAAAGAGAGGGAGAGAGGAAAAGCAGATGCTCTGGGCAAGCAGAGAGGACAGATCTCGTGTCCTGAGAGAGGCCAGCCGGCAGACACCTACAGGGACCAGGAGACAGAGAGACAGCAAGACAGAGACAGACGCATAGACAGAGAAGACAAAGGGACAGAAGACTGGCCTTGGCTCCCCACACATCCCCCTGTCCCCAGGCCTGGCTGCTCTCCGCCAGCATCCCCGAGCTGGTCCCGCCACCGGCAGGCGCATCATCCTTTCCTCTTAACCTAACGGACGGGACTATGTCCCTTTCGGAAGAGTCCCTGGGTGAGTCAGTCACCAGACAGTGCTTGCCATGGAAGGGAGCTGGGGCTGCTATTTTGCGTCTGTTCTGGTAATCTATTTTTATCCTTTTTTGGGGGGGTGGGGGTGGGGGTGAGGGGAACACTCGGTGCGTTCTTTCCCCCAGAGACCTGGGAATTAAGCATGTCAGTCAGTATAATAAAACTCCCCAAATATGCCCCTTTGTTCAGACAATGGTATTTTTTTTCCCCTAGTCATTAAGACAATGGTGCTGCAAGAGTAACACTTAAGTGGCTGGGTTTTTATTTTTGTCCCCAAGGTACAAAAAGTACTGCTTACTTTCTTACTGTGTATGGGCGGGGTGATGTGTTCCAGAGCCTCGGAGAGCCGGAAACGATTGCTCTGTGTAGAGATCTGCCTTGGTCACCACCTCTGCAGAGTCAAAAACCCCACAAAGGCACGTTTTGAGACGTCTGCCCACCGGCTTGTGGCGCACAGTGGGTACTCAACAAACACATTAGAAAGGATGGGCAAGAGGCGTACACATGAGTGCTGTGGCCGGAACGTGGCTGCAGGGGGGATAGGGGGGAAGGAAGGAGAGCAGGGGGCTGAGGATCTGGGCTTCGGGGGTGCTCTCTCCATTGCCTTTCCTGCCTTGCAGGCATGCTGAGGCTGGGGGTTGGCGGGGCGGGGGGGGGCGGCAGGCGCCTGCTCGCCTCTGGTCTGGCTTACCCGGAAGGACAGAAGGCTTTTCCAGGTCCACAGGAGCCGAGCTCTGGAGGGCGGGGGCCACAGGGGATCCGGGAGAGGGACCGGGCTGCCCGTTCCACATCATAATGAACACAGACACGCTGGCCGGACTCTGAGGACCTCATCACCACGAAGCTCTCCACGGCCTCCAGCGTCCCTGCCCCAACTCTGCCGGGGTGAAGGGGTGCCCAGCCTGAGCCCACCCCGGGGCACAGCGTGATCATAGGTTCTGGGAAGACCATCTGTGGGTCACCACCCGGGGCCAAGGGGCCTGCAGGGTCCCAGAGCTGCAGCTGCCAGGAGTGGGTTGGGCGGCAACCTCCCCAGTGGACCTCTGGGGAGGGTCGAGGCTGCCCTGCCAGGCCTGACAACGTCCTGGCAGCGAGGCCAACCCTGCTCTGAGCGCTGATTCAGTCTTCCTTCCCTTGTGGCTCCAGGCCTGAGAGAAAGAACAGGGCAGGCAGGGCTCGAGGGTGCTCCCAAAGTGTTGGTGGAGGGAGGAAGTGCTCTCCCTCTGCAGGTGGCCTTTAACCTCTGCCTTCGCCAAAGGCCCCATGAGGCCGATTCTCTGCTTCTCTGCGGCCCCATTGGAGATCACCTCCCATTGTCTTCCAGGCTTCAGGAGTCCTGGGGGCCTCGCATTCCCTCAAGGACTCTGTGGTTTTCACTCCATGGTCTCAGGCTGTGACTGTTGCCCTGTGGAATTCAAAGCTGTCTCGGTTATCAAGATTTTAGAAAATTATTTAACTTTCTGTTTTCTGCTTAAAATTTAGGAGAAGTCTTTATTTTTTTTCCATCAAGTTTTGGGATCCCACCGAGTTGCATCTTAGGGTTAGCGGGCTTCTCATTTTAATTAGTGCAACATGACCTGTCTCAGTTCATTATAAAGTCTTTCACTCATTTATTTAACAAATATTAAAGGCTTACTGTGACCTAGGCACTGTTTTGGGTTTTGTTTGGTTGGTTTTTTAAAAGATTTTATTTATTTATTTATTTATTTATTTGAGAGCGAGAGAGAGCAAAGGTGCAGTGGGGAGAGGCAGAGACTCAGAGGGAGAAGCAGGCTCCCTACTGAGCAGGGAGCCCAACGTGGGGCTCAATCCCGGGACCCAGAGATCCTGACCTGAGCTGAAGGCAGATGCTTAACCGACTGAGCCACCTAGGCACCCGTTTGTTTTTTTAAAGTAAGCTCTAGGCGCAACATGGAGTTTGAACTCAGGACCTGGAGATCAAGAGTCACATGCTCTATGGACTGAGTCAGCCAGGCGCTTCTGGAGGAAGCACTTTTTTAAGTTCTGGGGAGACAGCTGTGAAGAAAACAGACAAGACTCTCTGCCTGTGTGTGTGTGTATGTGTGTGTATGTGACAGACAGACAGACAGCAGGTGAGGGGGGCAGGGAGGAGGGAGGGAGAAAGGGAAGGAGAAAGAGGAAGAGGAGGAAAGAGGAAGAGGGAGAGAAAACATAAACACGTTTTGATTATTGATTCTGTTCCACTTGATTTATTCTGAAATTTCAGGGACTTTTCTGTCCCCCCTGCATGTTCACATTTTCTCCTAGAGGTCTGGCACACTCCCAGCTTTCCTTCCCTCTCACCCGTGATTTCTCCCACATGCCACAAAGGTTTCTCTTGTCTCTTTTCTGTTTAATCATCCAACCTCCTGTAATCCTATTAACCAGAGGTTCCAGTGACAAGCTGAGGTGACGGGCCCCTAGCTCTCCTGCACTGTCCTTGGCTCATCCCCCCCAGCAATAGGAATAGCTGTTTTCTAAAATCTTCTTTCCTTTCATCTGAGAGATCTATTTCAGAGAATAGGATTATCAAGATTTCACTGCTTTCTCCTTTTACTTCTGTGTTCGGGGCTTTCTCATGGGATCAGATTCATCTTCTTCCTCTTATATTCAGACTTCTTGAAATTCATGTGTAAATCCAGTAAGAGCAAGTGGATTTTTTTTTTTTTAAATCACCAAACCTTATAATACATATGTGCTCGAGAGGGAAGAGAAAGAGGAAAACAGAAAGAAGCGGGGAGGGGAGAACAACGTACTTAGGGCTGAGGTCCCGCGTTCCATGGCTCACGGCAGGTGTCCCTCAGGGAGCAACGGGAAGAAGGTGTGATGGGCATCCGTGCTTTGTCAGTGGGTCGGGCCCCCCGTGCCTCTAACACTGCGAGCATCTCACGTGTGCTCTCCATACCACACGACCCATAAGACAATCCAGCTCTGCCTGGTGCTCCACCAGAGAAGGAGCCATCTGTCCCCACTTGGAAGGGAAACACGCTGAGCTGGAGTTTTCCGAAGTGGGTGTGGTTCTGGAGAGAAATTTGTGGTAATGTAAGGGACTTTGACTAGATGCCACAATGTCTTACATGGAGAGATGAGAATGCCATCCTCAGATGAGATGTGACCCCCTGTACTAGACACGTGAGCACCTCACACACATCTTGGGATCTCGCAGTCCCTTCTGATGGGCTGATGTCGGCAGACATCTCTCCCCGGAGCCTCTAATTTATAGGCCCTCCTGACAATCGATGGCTTGGTACAAATAGACAAGATGACCGATCGGATTCCTCCTCTCTGGAACCTGAAATTGGGCACAGCCAAAGAATAAGGCGGTTAGCCAAAGGAGCTGAGGTTTGAAAGTCACGCACTGTCATCTCTGCAGGTCAGCCTTACTCAACGTGGGAGGGGACATCGTGTACACAGTTCATTAACTTAACATCTATGGGCTCCCAGGAGGTGCCAGGCGCCATTCCGGGTACTGAGGATACAGAGAGAAACAGGGTCCCTGTTCTCACAGCACCTACCCAGAGGCAAGCAATAAAAACATGAGCAAGATGGTCAGAGAATGGCAGAAAGCCCTCAAGTTTTCGAGCAAAGCTGTGAACTCTTTTCACAAGTAACTATTTTCCTTTTGGGAAACAGCTCTTGGCTCACTATTGGGTTTTGCTGTTGTTTGTAAGTTTTAAGTGGGAAAGAAGAGTTGATGATGAGGTGAAGGAGACTGTGGAGGATCTAGGTCATCAATTCACTTTGGCCTCCCCAAACCATGGAATACTCTTTCTTGTTTTTTTTTTTTAAAGATTTTATTTATTTATTTGACAGAGACAGAGACAGTGAGAGCAGGAACACAAGCAGGGGGAGTGGGAGAAGCAGGCTCCCTGCTGAGCCGGGAGCCCGATGCTGGACTCGATCCCAGGACCCTGGGATCATGACCCGAGCCGAAGGCAGTCGCTTAACCAACTGAGCCACCCAGGCGCCCCTCTTTCTTGGTTTTGAGAATTCCCCACCTTATGAACTCACAGCTCCCCATGGTGGAAATCAGGTTAAGTTCCCAGTCTCGACTGCAGATGGAGCAGAGCATGTGACACAAAATGCCACCAATGAGGTGCACCTGCACGAGGCTAAGGGTCACTGAGAAGCAGGTGCCAAGGAACCTTCTCTGGAGAATACAGCAGATCCATCTGGCTGCCAGAGGCGGCAGCGGCAGGCAGCCCAACGGGGGTCTCCAGCTTCAAGTGCCCACCTGGGCAACAGCGGTATGTGCATGTGGCTCATGGAAGGACTGATCCACGCAAATGACCCCCAAGCCTGGCTATCTGCCCTTCCTGGCAGTTTTTGAGGTGCTTACTATCCTTTAACAAATTCCTCTTCAGATTAAATTAGCTAGGAAGAAGTCCGTGGCCTATAAGCAAGAGTTCTCATCGGCACGTGAAGGGAGAAGGGCAATAATCCAATACACAAGATCATTTCAGATAGAAGTCAGTGCTGTGCTGGGAAGAAGCGAGCACAGGGTGATGTGAACAGGTTTTTCTAACGGAAACAAAGGAAAAAACATAGCCTGACAGCATTGACAGCACGACATCGGTACTGATTGTGTTTGTAAATACATCCAATCAAAAATTATGTATCATTCATGCAGGATCTACAAATTTGTAATAGTGGGGGAAGAAACCACTCAAGGTGATCGAGAGAAAACCAGGCAGGGGTGGGTTTTTTTTTTTTTTTTTAAAGATTTTATTTATTTATTTCACAGAGAGAGAGAGAGTGAGAGCAGGAACACAAGCAGGGGGAGTGGGAGAGGGAGAAGCAGGCTTCCCACCGAGCAGGGAGCCTGATGCGGGGCTCGATCCCAGGATCCTGGGATCATGACCTGAGCCGAAGGCAGACGCTTAACGACTGAGCCACCCAGGCACCCCAGGGGTGGGGTTATTTTTGATAAGGTGCTCAGGGAAGCCTGTCTGAGGAGGTGCCATTGAACTGAGACCTGAAAGGTAAGAAGGAACCAACCATGCAAAGATCTAGTAAAGAGACTTCTAGGCAGAGGGAGCGTAAAATATGAAGGATGAGCTTGGGTTGTTGAGGGACAGAGGGGAGGTTGCTGGGTCTGGAGGTTAATGCAAGTGGGCCAAGGACACGATGAGCCTGGGAAGGAGGCAAGGACCAGGTCATGCCAGGCCTCACAGGCCACGGGCAAGCATTCAGGTTTTGTTCTAAGGATGGTGGAAATCCATTAGCGGATTTCAGAGAGGGAGCAGGCTCCAGAATGCCCCCCACCGATCCTCACCTCCTGGTATTTACAGCCTTGTGCAATCCCTTCCACACAGAGTATGGCTGATCTGTGCACCCACCAGGATACTGCAGAAAGGGCAGTGTGTGACTTTCGAGGGTAGGTCATAAAAGACAGTGTGACTCTGCCTTGCTCTCTTAGATCGCTCCCTCGGGGGAAGCCAGCCACCCTGTTGTAAGGATGCTCAAGCAGCCCTATGGAGAGGTCCACGGTGGGGCCCTGAAGCCTCCTGCCCACAGTCCTGTGAGACAGCTCAGAAGCAGATGCTCCAGCCCCGGTCAAGCCTTCAAATGACTACAGCTCCAACTGACATCTTGACCACAACTTCCAGAAAGGGCCTGAGTCAGAACCACCCAGCTAAGCAGTTTCAAATCCTGACCCATAAGTGGGTGAGATCATAAGTGTTTGTTGTTCTAGGCCAGTGAGTTTAGGGGTAATTTGCCAACTCTCTCCATTGTTCGCAGCTGGTGTCTCTTTTGCCTGGTGGGGGCCTATGCTTTCGTAGCTGTTAGGTATTTGGATTATCAGCCTTGAGTAGGAGTCATCACATAGAGGGGAGTCATGAGTGAGATGAGACCAAATGGTGGAAGCAGAGAGAAAGGGGCACTGTCGGGAGGGCTGAGTCACCCATGCTGTTTGGGAGAGAGCAGAGCAAAGACCTGCCACCTGCCCGGCTTGACTAGCGTGTTGGCTCTTCCTATACCTGGATTGTTCTCCTGGGCTCCCGAGCTATGTGACCTCACTGTAGATGCCCCCATGACTTGGGGTGATAAGAGTTCTCTTCCTCGCTCTACTCGAAGCAATTCTGAACCTGATGCTGGATGATTGGGCTGTTGTTCTGGTTCCTTCTCCTGGGCTGGGCAGAGTGCTCAGCCCAGCTACAGGCACCAGGCACAGGCCAGTGCCAGGAGCTGCCTTCTGCCTCCACGCAGTTATGGTCACATCCTGACCTCACATCAGCCTCCCCAGCTAGGTGGGATAAGGGGTTATGTGAAGGGAATCCGCTTCTTCCTCTCTTCCCATTTGGAGGGGCTGGGTCATATGGATCCCACATTCTGAGTGATGCTTCCCCTCTCTGTTCTGGCTGTGCCTGAGAGCTTGTTTGGGTTGATTTCAAGGACACATGAATGGGTTTAGGGATAGGAGGTGCTGGAATTTCAGCTCATGATAATTTCCCGAAAATCAGACACACAGCATTTCCCCCAACTGGGACATCAATTCAAAAAATATTAAATAGAAAAAGTTCAGATATGAAAATATAAAAAGTGAACCTGCCTTTCTCTTCCCACCCTCTGATTCTTTAGATCATCTCCAGTGTTTCTCGAATACAAACAGTCCTGTGATGAGCGTATTTGTTCGCATAGCCCTGTGCAGTTGAGCAGGTCTTTCCAAAGAATAGATTCCTGGAAGATTATCTGCACATTTTACATGTTGGTAGGTTCTCCCAATGGCCCATCAAAAGACTCTACCAGCACACAATGACCTCAGCATACAGGAGCACCCCCTTTCCTCTGGCCAATACTAGGTATTATCAATTTTTAAATCTGCATTTCTCCGATCCCTAGTGAGCCTACGTGTTCCTCTCACCTAGCGGCCATTTGAATTCTCCTGTGAGTTGCCTGTTCTTGTCCTTCGACCATTTATATATTGGAATATAAAGCTTTATATTTGCTTTGAAGGGCCTCTCTATATTTTAGGGTCGTTATGCATGTTGCACCTGTTGTCTTTTATCGTTGATACGGTCTCTAGCGCTACAGATGTTTTAAATTTTTGAGGCCGAATCTGTCCATTTTCCCCTTTAAGGTTTCTAGATTTTGTGTCTTGCTTTAGGAAGGTTTTCCCCACCCCAAGAATATAAAAAATATATTTTATCATATTTTCTTCCAGTCCCTTAAATTCCGTTTGCTAGCTAATGTCAAATTGTCCTCCGGAAAGGTTGTGCTGGTTTCCATCGCGTCAGCCTGTGTGCCCGCACCCTCGCTAGCCCTGAGCCCTGCAGTCTTTTCAAATTTTGCTAATGGTGAACCACAGGTATCTCCTTGTTTTAATGAGCATCTCTTTAATTATGAGTGAGGTCCAGAACCTTTTCATATGGGTATTCGTTCTCTGTATTTCATTCTCTCTGAACTGCCTGATCCTATCTGGGTCCCAGTTTTTCAGCTGGGTGTCGGCCTTTATCCTACTGATAAAGGGCTCATTGTTTACCAAGGAAACGAGCCCTGCGTCCCCCCAGTTCGTCCTTATCTCTCTGCTGTCCGTGAAAGGCATCTGCAACCGGCTGCGGGGTGCAGTCGATGGGGCAGGAGCCAGTCCGCGCCGCACGGCACCTGTCGCCTGGTCAGCTCCCCGGACCTGACCCCCCACCCCCGCCCCCTGTCTTCCCGGCATCCTTTTCGGAACACTTACGGTTTTTACCTTCAGCTCAATCCCACCTGTTTGCCTTTCACTTTCCAGCATCCTTTAGTTCTCATAATCTCTGATACTGAAGGATATCGGTCTGCAGTTTCCAGTCCCCTGGCAGAGGCTTTAAATACGCATCTCCCGGGGCGCCTGGGGGGCGCCGACCGTTAAGCGTCTGCCTTCGGCTCAGGCCGTGGCCCCGGGGCCCTGGGCTCGAGTCCCTCTCAGCCGGGAGCCCGCTTCTCCCTGCTTGTGCTCTCTCTCGCTCTCTCTGGCACTCTCTCTGTCTCTCTCAAATAAATAGATAACATATCTTTAAAAAATACGGATCTTCTCAGTCGCGTCGAGAGGGTCGCGCCGCAGCGCCGCGGCGGGGCCGGCGCTCGCGCCGCCATCTTGACGCCGTCCGGCCGCCGCCGCCGCTTCCGGCCTCTTCCGACGTCCTTCTCGTCCTGGGTCTGGCGGGGGTCAGCTTGATTTTTCTCTTGCGTGTCAACTGTACTCAAAAAAAAAAAAAAAAAATATATATATATATATATATTTTAAATGTTTTCGGGTTTAGACTCATGTCAGCTGGAAATAATCATTTTACCAAAAAACATCTTAATAAGCCACACACACGTTCACACAAACCAGATGACCACGCAGACCGTTTTGAATTGGAGAAGAGGGGAAAAAAAAAAAAAAATCAACTTCGGGGCCGGGGGCTGCTGGCGGGCTGCGCCCGGGGCGGCGGGCCGGGCCGCGAGGCTGTGTGAGGGCAGCCGGAGGACGCCGGGGCTGCTGGACGGCCGGCAGCCCCATCTCCGCTTCGCGTTCAAGTTCAGGTGCGGCTTCGTGGCCAGCCACGTACTTACACCAACGCTGGTCGTCAACGGGCGTCATAATAATACGATCGGTCAGAGGCGCGTCTCAGGCTTCCTTGAGCCTGGGCCCACAGGCGTGTCGGAAGCGCTGGGTGCCTTCTCGTGTGCTCTTTCTTCGTTTGGTTTTGCTTTTTTCGGACAGTGACAGCGCTCGTGGGGGAGGGGCCGGGGGAGGGGCCGAGGGCGAGGGAGAGGATCTCAAGCAGGCTCCTCACCCGGCACAGAGCCCCACACAGGGCTCGATCCCGGGACCCCGAGATCGTGACCTGAGCCGAAATCAGGAGCTGGATGCTTAACGGACTGAGCCACCCGGGCGCCCCTCTTTCTCGGTGTTTGGTTCATCCTCTCCGCGTCTTTTCGAAGTCTCCCCTGCACCCTGCTGTCGCCCATCCCTTCCTGCTTCCATGTCCTCCTCAGCGTGTTCCGCCGAACATCAGCCTCAAAGGTGGTCCCAACCAAAAAGGACTTGGGGGTCCGATATGTTTCAGAAATCAACCTCCGGGAAGCCCCTCCGTGAGACGCGTCATCCCCGCGCCAGGCCTGCAGGAAACTCCTCTGTGCATCCCTCGTCAGCGTTCTGCAGGGCCGAGAGTGCCAGGCCTTCCAGCGAGGTGGCGAGAGGCGTGCGGCAGTGTGACACTGGGAATTCCCCAGAGCCGGGCCAGGGACAGCTAGCTCCAGAACCTGGAGCAGGAAGTGCCGCGTCTAGCCGGCTCCCGCCGCCACCGCCTGACCCACAAGGGTAAGGGAAGGCAGGGACGGCAGGGGGAGCCCAGGTGGCAGGACAGCCACCCAGGCTGGGGACCCGACGGAGCTGCAGCGATCCCCACGCTGCTCCTCAAGAAGGGCAGTCTTTGGGACTCTTCACTCCAGGGCGCTCAGGAGGAGGTGAGTGGGGCCGCATGCCAACTCGGAGAACAGCTGAGTAACCAGGCGGGATGCTGGCTGCTCATGGGCCTCGGTGGAACCTTCCCTCCAGGGCACTGCCATGAATGTGGCTCGATTTCATTGACACCCAGACTCTCTGTCTCTCCCCCTCAAGCCTCAAATTCCCTGGAGAGAACATCTGATGGCCCCGTGGATCCAGCGAGCATCGCCAGGGGGCTGGGGCTGCCCTGGCCTGGCTTCCGGGAGGCGGGGGTCTGAGCAGACTCCAGCCTGCAAGGCTCCCCTGCGATCAGTAAGGCCGGCCCTGGCAAGGAGCAGGGCTCGTTGAGTGGAAATGAAGGCCCCGTGAAAGCCGGCTGAGGAAGAGTCGGGACCTACCAGGTCAGGCTTAAGACTAAGCATCCTCGGGGCGCCTGGGTGGCTCAGTCGGTTGGGCGTCTGCCTTCGGCTCAGGTCATGGTCCCGGAGTCCTGGGATCAAGACCTGCATCGGGCTCCCTGCTCGGTCAGGAGGCCTGCTTCTCCCTTTCCCACTCCCCCTGCTTGTGTTCCCTCTCTCTCTGTGTCTCTCTCTGTCAAATAAGTAAATAAAATCTTAAAAAATAAAAAAAAAAGAAGACTAAGCATCCTCTGAGGTCAGTGCTGGGGCTCCGGAACGGGGGAAGAGCTGAGGGTGGCCCCTGCACCCTGGCCGGACCGGCGAGTCACACCAGCGCCTTAGGGAGAGAGGGTGGAGGCCCAGCCAGGACCCCTCCATGTGCTGAGAAAGCTCTGTGCGGTGCCCCCTTCAGAGCGTGAGCTTGGTCTTCTCAACAAATCCTTTTGTTGTGTTTCTGGAGTCTAGGAAGAAAGGATCGGTTTAATAAAAAGAATTACAGCCAACAGGACAGGTAACAGGAAGCACTTGATAGCGTGGGCACAAGCCCGTGAGGTGGGTCTCGCCATCCCCGTTTTCCAGCTGAGGAGACTGAGACCACCGCCTTGGCCGGCTTCACAGCCAGGATGGGTGGGGACGCGTGTGAACCCAGGTCTCTGATTCCAGAGCCCCTGCACTTGGCCCCGGAGCAATACCACCTGTAGATCCTGTTCCTCATGCCCAGGCTGACCATATGTCTCTGCGTGCCAGGCCCTGTTTATGCCCAAGGAGCGGGCATGCTCTGCCACCAAGCCCGCGTGAAGGCTTTGTCCCGGCACAATTCCTAACAGCACTTCCTTTCACTCTCACCAAGTGTCCTGGTTTGGATGATAACTTTTAAGGAAACTAGGCTAGCTGGAGCCTAGATTATCCTAGCAAGATGCTGGTGGGCAGAGCGTGGAAAACGGGTCTGTAGCTGCCCCTCACTAGCCCAGAACTCTGGCCCCTGTGCTCACTCTCCTGGGGCAGACCTCCATTATGTTAGTGAGGTGGCCATCACTGCCCCCTGGATATTTGGGCACCTTTGCAAATGGCCTTCCGCGATTTCTATGACTCCAAGGCTCTTTGTTTATATTCTCTATGTCTCCACCCCTCGAATATGGACTTACCAGATCTTCTCCCTGTTTCCCTTCTTTAGCCTGGCTATGAAAGAAGCCGTGTGGTCCTAATACTCCCGGGAAGGGCAGCTGTGCTCTGAGTCCCTCCCCTGGCCCCGCCCCGCCCCACAGTGGCTACCAAAGCTTGGGGCTTCTGACTCTTCTTGTCCAAATTTGCAGATGTGTCCTAGAGGCAGAGGCCTGGGACTCTTCACTCACACTGAGCTGTCCTGCAGAGGGTGCTGATGGAAATGATGACCTTGGGTGCCATTTATTTGGGCACTGGGTTGTCAGAACTGATTAAGACACAGTCCTCGCCTCAAGTTTCTCATAGACAAGAGGGAAGGCAGACTCTACAACAAAATCAGCCCTATGGCTAGCAAAGTGAATCTGTGGGACAAAGTACAGCTCAAGCCCAAAAGAGGAAATGGACAGAGAAGGAGTATCGGTCAGCTATCACCACAACAATGCTCCGTAACAAATGACCCCATCATTCAGTGGCTTACGTTAGCAGCATTTACTTCTGACTCCCATGTCTGCAGATGGACTGGGGTAGCCCTGCCAACTTCAGCTGGGCAGCTAGATTGGCTCCTGGGCAGGCGTTTGGTTGAGGTCTGCCTTGTCTCATTCTTTTGGACCCACTGGGCAATGCAGGGAGAGACTGTGCCCACAGCAATGACAGCAGCCCAAGTAGAGGGCATGCTCTGCCACCAGGCCCATGTCAAGGCTTTGCTCCAGCCCAGTCTCCAAACATCTCATTGGCCAAAGGGGCTGGAGGTATACTCCTCCCACAGTGGAAGCAGAAGGAAGTATGTACTTGCCAAATAATAATCCAAGCTTCACAGAAGGCTTCACAGAGGAGGTGTCATTTGACCTAGGCCTTGAAGGAGAAGCTGGATTTTCCCAAGTGAAGATAGGATAGCGCACGGCTGACAAAGGTATGAAAAGTATGGGGGTGGGGGTAGCGATGGGAAGGGTGGTCATGGAGGTCCCCTGGGCTAGAAGCCTGGCATGTGCTTTCCTTGAACACAATACTCTCCCCACCCCCACCCACCAGTCATTTCCCTCATTTCCAGAGTCTGAAACTTCAGTTACGTATCAAGTTCAAGACTCGGTTTTCGGCAAGGAGTCACAATGGAAAGTGTAGTGGCTGTCCCCACGCTGGGGAACTGTGCCAATTTCACCCAGCATAAATCAGCCAATGTTATAGTCCACCTACCCCCATTACAGAGTTCAGGTCTCCAATCCTGCAGCCCAGAGGCTCCAGCCCTGAGGCTGGGACCAACACAGCCCTCGGGGAAGGGACTCCTTGAAGGCCAAGTCAAGGTAGCAGGAGCACCACCAAAATAAAGCGAACTCAGGAGCGGGACTGGGAAGGCCATTTGAAAAGGGCCGGCAGGGAGCGGAGGACCCATGCGCACACGGAACTGGGCCAGACAATGGTGGGAAGGATGGTTACAGGACAGGATGCACACAGCACAAACCTTGACAATGTAAAAATAAGAAGTCACGGCTTCTGGGAGTGGGGGGAAGGGGATGGGAAGTGGTGAGCTCATTTCCTCATCCTAAATCACGGGCTGTCAAGAGATGCCATCTACCGTGGAAACATACTTCAAGAAAGGAATCCAGCCTCTTGGTATTTTTCTTTCCTTTTAGGGAATTAATTTAGAAACATAAGAAGCACAATTATTTGCAGCCCGGCAATTTCTTTGGTTACATCTAGGCTTCCTTTCCTTCTGTGAAATTTAAGTACTTTCCCCAGAAGAGCATGTATTGTATGAGAGCCCTTTTCTTGGACAGCTTTCTCCATCCATCTACCTGTCCTTCTCTCGGAAGATGGACATGGAAGGGGGTCTCCGTTGGCGTTTCTGGGGGTGCTGGCTTTCAGAGACACTTGGACATTTTCTGTTTGTACTCTTCAGTGTTACATGAGTTTCTTATAATGAGCGGGCATGACTGTTATACAAGCAAAGCCTTAAAAAACAACACATTTCGGGGCGCCTGGGTGGCTCAGTTGGTTAAACGACTGCCTTCAGCTCAGGTCATGATCCCGGGGTCCTGGGATTGAGCCCCGCATCGGGCTCCCTGCTCCGTGGGAAGCCTGCTTCTCCCTCCCCCACTCCCCCTGCTTGTGTTCCCTCTCTCGCGGTGTCTCTCTCTGTCAAATAAATAAATAAAATCTTAAAACAAAAACAAAAACAAAAAAAACACACCACATTTCCGGAAAAGAGACAATCCTGCCATGGTTGGGGGGCGGGAATGCCCTCTGAGCTCCCTGCCATGGAGAGGGTAGGAGTTGTCCCTGGGGCAGGTGGGGGCGGGGCCACCACCCACCCCCATCCCCCCACCCCCGCTGCGAGGTCCCCTCGGGAGGGCGAGGTCCCCGCGACTCCCGGAGCTCCACGTGCACGGCCACAGGGAGGCACTGGGCCCTGGGCTCGGAGCAGGTGGCTGGGCCTCTCCAGGGCTGCGTCTTCCTCTGTAAACCCAGGAAGTCACCCTTGCCCTGCCTTACTCTCAGGTGGCCGTGAGGGACATGTGATGTGCAGTGTCTGTCGTCCGCGGCTGAGGGGCCACTAGACAGACTTCTTAAGTGTACTCTTCCAACAGGGGATCCAGTTTGAACCAGCACCGCCTCCAGCCCGGTCTAAAGGCTCCATGTAAGAGGGTCAGGTGGCTCTCTCCCCTGTTTCTGGGTCTGAACAGCCACTCTTATGGTCTCAGCTCCATCTAGTGTCCACACTGGGACACGGTCACATGTGACAGGCTTATTGTAAAACCCTCATTTCCATACTTGCAAAGGGTACCGCATTCATTGGGCAAACAGGATGTTCATAAGATCAGTTTAAAACATTCCTCTCTGTACTAAGATTTGGTATTTCAAAGCAAGCATTATACAGGTTCAGTACTACTAAAGATTTGTGCCTCCTGTCTTTGGAAGGACAGCATACTCACGCAACAAGTAATACTTATAATAATTGATATTTATTTATTTATTTATTTTAAAGATTTTATTTATTTATTTGAGGCAGAGAGAATGAGAGACAGAGAGCATGAGAGGGAGGAGGGTCAGAGGGAGAAGCAGACTCCCTGCCGAGCAGGGAGCCCGATGCGGGACTCGATCCCGGGACTCCAGGATCATGACCTGAGCCGAAGGCAGTCGCTTAACCAACTGAGCCACCCAGGCGCCCAATAATTGATATTTATTGAATGTTTACCATGTGCTGGGCACAATTCCAGGTCCTTTAATTGTGTGAGTTTATTATACCCTCAACAGCGCTATGAAATGGTGGTGTGCGGGGGTTGGGGGGGTGCTTATTGTCCCATTTTATAGATAGGAACACTGAGGCACACAGATAAAAGTAAAATCCATCACTTTAGATTTCTGGGGGCAGGTAGAGGCCGTGTCACGGAGCTGGAGATGAGGAGGCAGACAGATGGGAAGTCCCTGCCAGGCTGAGCGGAGAGGGAATGGGGGCTGAGACAGCCCTGGGACTCAGGCTGGCTCTGAGCAGTGAAGGGGGACGAGGGTGCAGGATGGCTCACGTCCAGCTTTCGTGTCAGGGTAGAGGCTGTGGTCTGAGAGGGAGCATGCAGGAGTGGGCAGTTTAAGCGTATTTACTGAGCGCCTACATGCCAGGCTCGGAGATAGAGACTTCAAGTGCACAGGCATGGCCCCTGTCCTCGCGGGCTAGAGCCCCGTGGGGAAGGTGGGTGTCGAAGGCTGATTCTGAGTGCTTGCTGGTGCACAGAGATCTACAAAGGACAAGGGCAGCAGGCGACATGGGATGGAGTGCGGGTGAACCTGAGCTAACAGGCAGATGGGGTAGGAGGATGAAGGTGAGGGTCGTCAACTTGGAGGACTGGGCAGTTGATCCGAAGAAAATGGAGGAGGATACGCAGAGGAGATGGACGTGTGACCTGAGGGAACAAGAAGGGGGTTTACTGGAGCCAAGGAGAGGAAAGTGAGTGGCCACAGGGCTCGAGGGGCAGGGAAGGGTCAAGGAAGGGCCAGGAGGAGAGGGACTGGAGGGGCCCAGGGGGGTGTGTTGGGCAGAGGGGTTTGCAGCCGGGGCTGTGGATGTGAGGAGAAGGGAATGAGTGGAACATGAGCAACTCTTTCAGGAGGGGAAGCAGACAAGGTTGTGGTCCAAGAAGCCGGGTTGAGGAAGGCTTGTTTCCTTCTGTTTGTTCTCAGCAAGGAGGCGAGAAGGCATATGTGTGGGCTGACGGGGAAGACCACGGAGAGTGGGCTGGCGGGGAAGACCACGGAGAGTGGGCTGGCAGGGAAGACCACGGAGAGTGGGCTGGCGGGGAAGACCACGGAGAGTGGGCTGGCGGGGAAGACCACAGAGAGGGATGAGGTCTGGGGTAGGCAGGGCGTCCTCACAGGAAAAGCAGGTCAGTCACAGCCATGGTGAGTGAGGAATTTCTGCGCCTGAGGAGAGAAATGAGGGCTTCTGGAGAGGAAAGGTCTGGAGCACCCCACGTGGCAGGAGAGGGTCAGGTCAGCAGACAGTGTGGGGTTGCCGGTTTTCTCCTGCGCAGCTCCCAGCAGGGGAAGGCAGAGGGTCAGAGCAGGAGGGCTGTGA